AAATGCCAAAATAGGAGCTAGTTGGAGAGAAACAAATCCAATATGAACATTAGAACCAGAAACAGAAAATGCACTACATAATTGGTCAAGCTTTTGGAAAAAAATGAACAGAACAAAAGAAGTGCATTGTACATCGAGAAAACTCAGCACAAGGAGAGCTACAGCAATCAAGTACATAATGGATAGTCTACCAACACTTGAGGAGCTAAACAGAAGCAGACCAGAAGTATACACAACAGCAAAGTGTTAAGTATACCAAATGGGAAAAAAAGAGACTCAGGCACACTTAGCAAGTTGTTGTGAACAAAAGAGTTTGTGGAAGCAAATTCAGAAAGTTGCAACAGTGACAGCATGGAATGGACTCAAGGAAGAGGAAAAAAACAGAATACCATCACAAGTTCTTTATAAGACATTATTTGGAGAAACAGAAGCAGAAAAAATCACAAACAGAGAAGTGCTGATAAAGGGACTCACAACATTAAAAGTAGAAAAAAGATTGAAGTGACTCCTAAGCAAACAAGCAACACAGAAGTGCATAAACATAACCACAAGAACAGTATGGAATACCTTCTATGACCAAATATAGAGAGTGCAATGTAAAAAATTCAAGCCTGGGAGAAAGAAAGCAACATAATGAATAAAATAAAAAAAGGTGCTTATGCAAAAAAAAGAAACAAAGAAGAGGATAAGGAAAGATAAACAAGCAAAAGAAGAAGAAAAGGAAAAGAAAGCAAAAAAGGCAAACCAAGTAAAGAAAGAAGCCTTGAAGACAATAAATATGCTTGTTACAGGAGGAGGAAGACCCTTCTGATATGGCTTTAAGTAGTTAGATGAGCAGTCTATTCTTAACTAGAATAGTGTGGCAGGTTGCACTTAGGTACCATTAGGGTGGCCGAGTGATGCTAGACTTAGATGTTGGGAAATTCTATGTAATTGTATAAATATATAGTTTCAAGAATCTTAATAAAGTACTAGCGTAACTGCTTAAGGTTAAAAAAAAAAAATTTATTTTGCAAATCTGATACTTCTTCATAGAACAAAGTCACAGTCAGAGTCATGATTTGAGAATTAGAATACAGTCATTTTAATGTACCTAGTTTTTCTTAATTTTCTTTAAAATATTTGCTATTTTTTAGTTTTATGTTTATTTTTATAAGAAATTTTTAATAATATTTATTTTCTTACCTAAAATAACTGAAGCTAAAAATGCAATGAACTTTGTCAATTACAAATTATAGCCTATTATTATTATGAAACCATCTGCATAGAGCTTTAAGTAATTTGTTAAGCAATAACTTCTTAGAAGTAATGTAAAGTAGACAGATGAAACCAAAAGCTATTTCTTTGAAAACTTTTAATTTGTATTCGATTGTCTCTTGGGACAATGCCAGTAGACCTCTACATAAAATCTCTAGCTAGATAAAACTATTCTATAAGTATGATAAATTAGATAAATTAGATATATATTATTTATTTTAACTATAAACTTTTCTTTTTCTTTTTTACTAATCATTTGATTTTGAATTAAAGATTTTAGAAATGAAATAATTATTATTAGACCATCAAAGAGAACAGCAAAGGCTGCATAGCAGAAAGATTTTTTGCCACCAGTTTTCATGATTACGAGCATATCTTTCTTATCTTCTATATAAAATTGTATTGCTTTTATTTGTTTTGGTTTTATTTCAATAAAATTAAAAATATTTTTTGCAATTATTTTCACTTTATCAATTAAACTAATAGTTATATCTATATTCATTTCATTATATTTTATATATAGATTTAAAAGCTTTTTTTTTTAACCAAACTGATTATGTGTAAAATACAATAAGCACAAGCCTTTAAATTAAAATGTTTTAGAAAAACATAACAACTAAAACATTGAACAGTTATATCAATATTTATGATTAATGGAGTAAAGAATGAATAAAATTTATTTTTTTGGAGTCTTTCTTGTGCTTTTAATTTGTATAGAGCCAATTTCTGATTAAAATCGAAGCCTATTAGCTTTGTATGTTTATTTGCAAATTTTTCTTTTTACATTTTATTATGATAACAGATTTTTTTTATATTCAATTGATTTTGTTCTAAACACTCATTTTCTATCTTACAAATGTTAAGTGTGTCCTCTAGTTCAAAGTGTTGTTTGCAATAAATTTCTCAAATTTTGAAAATAAGTAAGTATATTTTTCATTATTATATATGACTGCTATAGCATATCATGTGGTATATGACTTCCAATAATCAATTCTTTTATCTAGATTAGAGTTCCAATCTATTATCCATTTATCCATTTATCCATTAGATATTCAATATCCAAATATATTTAGATATCTAGTTACTATTGATATCCAGATAATTATCTGAATATTAATAGTAAATAGATATTCAGATAAATTTGGATATAGATAAATGGATAATGGATTCTATCTGAATTGGAACTTTAATCTAGATGCACTAATTTTACTTGATTAAATGCTTTATTTTGGGATGTTCAGTAAGATGTGACAATATTCTGGCCTTTAGATATGCTAAAAACATCTTTGAGAAATTTTCAAAATGCATTAATTTTGCTTTCTGAAGAGTAACAAAGAGTAGAGTTTTGTAAAATAATCATTGGGTCATCCTTTATTCAACACACATCTGACCAACAAATTAAATAATCATTTTGAAGATAACAAATAAGATTATTCATTTGCATATTGCATGTTGTATCTTCAGAAAATGCAGATTCATCACCAATTTTTCTTCGAAATGTTGCTAAATAAATGTAACCATAATATCATCACATTATGTGGTTCTTATATGACTAAAAATTTTTGTTTTCTGAAAAAAAAAATATTAATATTAACTATAAATAAGTATAAATTTCTTTTTTATAAGCATTTTTATACTTACTGTGTACAGTATTTTTTATATTATGTGTTAAATGCTTTAGATCAGCTGAGATCTTGGTTACAACACATACATGTACAAGAGTTTTATTAGAATCTAAATTACCATCAATGCAGATTTCTAAATGAATGTCTTTTTCTTCTAGTGATAGACTAATTTGATTTAGCACCTTAATCAAAATAGCATGTTCTATTTGTTTTAAGAATTTGTCTAAGTTATCTTGGTTAATTGTTTTCATAAGTTCTGTTTGATTACCTTTCATAATTTTACTTTTTTGAATGATATGAAATATGATGATTGGTTTGTAGGAATACTCTAATAAGAAGAAATTAATTATATGCTAAAACAAATTAACATTTAAAAATAAATAAATTAATTTACCTAGTGGTGTTTTCTGACATATAAATTTACTACTGGCTTAGTTTGCATTTCATATATAGGTCAATAAATAATCAAATTCTATAGCTAGAGCCTCTTTACTTTGGCTCAATATGTATTCAATATATTTTTGTAAAGCTTGTATTGTACTTGACTTAGTACTAGCTACAAGAGGGTCAAGGAACATGTTTTGATAATTATGATATTTTTTTTTGCTAATTTGGCTAGTAATCTCAATAGTAGCTAAAGAAGTCTGTATTGCATTTCAAGTTATTCTATCTGCAAGTCTTGCGGCAGCTATGGCTTTTGCAAATCAGCTTTCTTTTTTGTTTGTATGTTTAAAAATATCATTGCATTTTTTATATTTAATTATACATCTAACTTGAAGCCCAATTGATGATACATTCTATAATCTATTTATAAGGTTACTGTTATTACAGCTGAGACAAAGTTATGTTAATACTAGTGATAGATAATTTTTTGTAAAAACCAGTATCATGAAACCAAGTTAGTTAGAATCTATTTTGCTGCTTATACTTGTTTCTAACAAATTAACTTTTTTCAAATTATTTTTATTAAGATTTTATTTTTTAATTTTTTCATATATTTCTTAAAATGGGTTATTTGTCTCTGAAGGATGCAGATTTTTGTTTTACCTTCTTTATGATTTAATATTAATACCTGAATACTTTTTGGTTTTAAAGTCTTGCCTTCTTTCTCTAAAATAAGATTAAATAAGATTATGATGAATCAGAATACCCAGTGTTTCTTTTTCTCATTTTGCCTCTATTAAGGCATTTATTTGTTTAGCCTTCTGTTCTAAATTAGTTCACAATAAGATTTTATATTTTTTTGTTTTTACTAGATGATTATAATCAGAATAGATATCTGAAAAGTGTGTTGCAATAGTTGTTTTAATAAAATAATATTATCATTATCCAAGAATCAGAGCAAATTAGGCAAAAAGTGCATATTAGTAGGGTCATATTTGGTTATTATATTTTTAAAAAAGCAGTAATTAGAATCAGTTTCTGGTTCTTGCAAATCTGCATTTTGGTAAATATTCCATTGAAATTTGAAATGATAGTTTTCATATATAATACTAAACTTAAAAATTTGCTTTAACATTAGAAAAAAAACTGAATATCCAAATAATAAAGGAATCCAGTCATCATTTTCAGTTTTGGGTTGATAATAATAATATATAGCAGTTGGTGTATTCCCTTTAAATGAGATTACTTGGAGCTTTTCATGTAATAGTAAGATTTCTAATTTCAGATTTATTTCTCTTACAAGACATTCATTTTCCAACTGGAATCTTTTGTCTAGTATTTAAGCAATAATTTTTTTATTCCATTTAACTATTTTTTTTTTGAGACATATTGAAGATATAATTAAATGAATTTGATTAGTAATAAAGATATAATTAAATTGATTAATCAATGATGAAGGTTGTCAAAAGGATCATTAAGTGAATTAATAATTAAAATCATATGCAAGATAAGTATAAAAAATTAATATGTGATTATAAGTTGTCTTTGGTTTTGAACTACTTAATATTTTTATGTTTTATTAAATAGATTAAAATCCGAAGAAATTTTATTAAGGTGAAAAATGAGTTTTTAAATACATGTTGACTTTTTATAAATTAATTACAATACTCAATTGATAGAACAATTTTTTTTTATAATTTTAATAATTATAACAGAAATTCTTTATTTTCAACACTAATAAACCTTCTTTTTTACACTTTGATCTAAATTAAGTACTTCTCTCAAAGCTCTTAAATCAGTTTTTATCCTACTAATCTCATCTCAACTCATAATAATTTTTTGTCAGACTAGCAGAATTTTAATAAAGCTTTTGTTCTCTTATGAATCACTATTTTCAGTAAATTAGACTATACTATATGGATTTCAGTATAACAGTAGAAAGCAACAAAAGAATAAGAAATTAGATTCATTTAGTTAACAATATTATTTATGATTTCAGTATCAAATAGTTAGAAATATATGTTCTTGATCTATTATAATATAGATAATGTATATAATAATAAGAAAACATATATATAGAAGGTATAAATAGGAAATAGATAATATATATTTGTATATTGTAATAAGAAAACATATATATTGAAGGTATAAAATAAGAAATAATAATATAAAAACTATGGTGATTTAAGTATAGGTTCAGAAAAATAATTAAAAAAATTCTGAAAGATATACAAGTAACATGATAAAAAAATTTTTAGAAAATAGATGATGCTGATATTAACTTTAAATATTTTTATCCTATACTAGAGCTAATAAAAAATTTAAGAATTAGTCCACCAACTTCAAAAAACTATTTAATTAAATCTGAAAACTAATTTTTCTTATTCTATAAAATTATGATAAATAAGAGTTTCTTTTGCCTATTGTAATTACAGCTTACAAATATAATTTAAGTAGTAGATCGCTATTGAAGAGTATAAATTTCATAGTAAAAATTAGCAGAGAATTACTATTACTTTCATATAATATTAGGAATGCTAGCATTATATAAAAATTATATAGTTATAAAGAAGAAAATGCCAATAGCTTATGACCTACCAAATCAATTTAAATGGTTCTACTGCTATTAGAACTGAAAACTCAAGAAAGGTTTACTTGACATAAAAAAAAAGTTTTTATTGTAAGCTAGCTGCATTTTAGCCCTATAGAAAAACCTTATTAACTTTTAACAATTTTTACTATTAAATTTGCTATTTTTATATCCTTTAATCACAATTTATCTTTAATTTATCTATTTAGCAGATGAGATCTAATTAAACCTTTTATGCTATCAAAAAGAAAAAGGTATTCAAATTTTTTTTTGATTTAGAGGTTCTACAAAAGCATTTACAGAACAGTCTTTATTTATGTTACAAAAATAATATAGATATTGTGAAACTTGCAACAAATATAGCATTATAAAATTTGAATTATTACTGAATTTACAAAAAATAATAAATGTAAATGTCAACTTTGTATTTTTTTTTTAAATATTAACGATAAGGCCATGCCTTTAACTTTATTAGAATTCAATTGAAGTTTTTACAAAGAAAAGCTTGCTTTTAAATTACATATAAAGAATAAAGACTCAGACGTATAATCTGTGACCTAAACCTAATGTCAACTTTGTATTTATTTATGGCTTTATTTATATGTTACTAACAAATTTTTGTATTTCATTTGAAAAGGATTAACATTTATTATAATTTATTTGTAATAATTATTATTATTATTATTATTATTATTATTATTGTTGTTGTTGTTGTTTTTTTTTTTGTTATTGTTATATGAGCTATTATTATTTGTATAAAAACAATTATTATGATGATTATTAATTATTAAAAATATAAATATATAGATAGTATTAAATGAATAAGATAACTATACACAATATCTAATATATATGCAGTTTAGTTCTAATCATAGTTTTGGATTGAATACTATAGTATAAATTCAAAAAAATTGATAAATAATGTTATTACTTCCTTAATTATGAAATACCTACTCATTATTTATAAACTTTAATAAAAACTAGCCTCATTATTGTCAGTCAATTCTGCAAGTAAATTCATTTCACTCCTTAGTATATGGTGCAAAAATTTATAAATAAACATGAATGAATAAAATTTTTATGATATTAAAGATAACACTGAGAAAAAAAGAATTAGAACTTATCTTTATAATTAAAATATTAACTACTGGATCTATCACTTGACAACTTCAGAGATTATTCGTATGCTATTTAGTTAGGTTGCTAAAAATTCTTTATCAAATCTTAAGATGCTATTTAATTTATTAAAAGAATCCAATCGATCACATTCTTTTTTAATATAATCAGATCTCTCTAAGTGCACTTCTCTAAATGCACAGACTATGAAAACTCACTAGATGCATAATATAGTCCAGTCTTAGCTTATAAAAGCTCTATAAATTTTGCTCTCTATAAATGCACATTCTCTTTAAGTGCATACTTCAATTTTTTTCTATGGTTCCGAAAAGGTGACTTAAAAAGGTCTGACTGTATAATTATCAATATTCTTATTAATACCTATTTCAACAATTAATTATAAAAATAAAATTAGTAAGAATGATATAAAAAATATGATTAAGAGAATTCTTAAGCATCTTACTTGATAGATCAGTAGTAATTTTTAAATAGTTAATAGTTGAATAAACTGATAAAGCTAGTCAGTTTTTTCAACTACCAACTAATTAAAAGTCTGCCAAGTAAAGTATTTGAGAATCTTTGAAAAGTTCCAGGCTCAAGATCTTTTTTTTGTTGAAGCCTCATTTTTTAAAAAAAAAAATTAAAATAAAAGAAGCTTGTAAATATTGAAAAAGTTAAGTATCTAGCACTTCTCATTAATACATTACATATATACTAAGATGGTAGCTTAACTAAATAAATCAAAACTATGTAAGCAAACTATGAAATTTGATGAAAAAAATTAAAATTTAAGTGTACAAGTCAAAACTTTAATAAAAGAAATTAGAGAAAGAAGCATAATGCTAAGATGCATTCTTTAAAAATTGTGCATGATTTATTAATTAAATATATTAATATATTAATATGATTTATTTGATTAATTTACTATCCTAGTACAACTAGGTTCAAAATAGCTAAATATAATTAGATAGGTTATCTATTTTAGAAATCTGATAGAACAATTTTTTTTGTACTATCTAAGAAAATTTGGATTAATCTAAGAAAACTTTATGTCATATATAAGTATATTTTCTAAAATAGGTACTACTTTAAAAATTTACTATTTGTTAATAAAAGTTTTTAATTATGTGTTATAAGATTCTGATAAAATTTAAACATGACTTTAAAATGTTTTATCAGTGTGTAATTTTGTCTTTATAAGAAATCACATTGTGACACCAAAACTATATAAGAAATGATCGATATACATTCTACCCTTAAAGCTATATCAAGAAAGTTACTTTTTAGTAAGGATTCTTAATTTGAAGTTAACTTATTAATAATACTTTTTTTTTATACTTAGGTTAGTTGTTTTGTTTTGATATCTTTTTTTACTTTTGTTTTTTTTGTTTTTAAAAATAACTAATATAAACTTAGTATCTGTAATAATTAAGAGTTAGATCTGCTTCTGAGTTGTTTTTAAAAAAGTCAAAGGCTTGATTATTATTTAATAGTTTAATGTTTATATCAGTTATAAATATTTTAGTTTTATCAAAGACTTTAAATAAGTTGTCTAAAGTTATAAACTTGTTAAAAATTTAGAGTTGTAAATTATTTAAATTCTTTTTAAATCTTTTTATTCTACTAAATTGTTTATATAAGAATTATTATTATTATTTTTTTTTAATTATAAGCAGTTATGCTAGTACTTTATTGAGTTTTTGGAATTACATTTGTAACTATATATATTTCTTTAATATCTAAGTCTAGCATTATCCGGCCACCTTAACAGTACCTAAGTACAACCTGCTGCATTACTTCAAACAGAAGTAAGCTACTTGTCTAACTATTTAAAGTCCATAATGAAAGGGTCTTTTCTCTTCTATGACAAGCCCCAAAATTGTCTTTGTTACTTCTTTTTTAACTTGTTTTTCTTTTTTTCTTCTTTCTTCATTTTTCTTTTTTGTTTTTTTTCAATCTGCCTTTTTTTCCTTTCCTGCTTTCTTCAAAATTTCACCTTTTTTCCTTTTATTTTTCCCTGTTATTCCTACTTTTTTCACCCATTCGATGATTTTTTCACAATATATTTACCATACTTGTTTATAAAATGTGTTTCAAGCCATTATTGCTACTGTATTTGCAAACTGCTGTCTTGATCTTGTGTTTAATAACTCTGCTAGTTTGTCTTATGTTTCTTTTGAAATTAGGCCTTTCATTAGTGCTTCTCTTATTTTGACTTTCTTTGTCTCTGTTTTCCCAAAGAGTGCTATGTATAAAATATGTAGAGAAATCTAAATCTTTTCTTCTTCTTTTAATTTCTTCTATGCTGTTGCAATGATTACTTTTTGGATTCTCTTCCAGAAATTTCTTTGCCTCTTGCATATTGCCAAATATGCTTGTGTCTCTTTTATTTTGTTTTGGCATACTTGGCATTCTGCTGTTGTATATATATCTGGTCTTCTTTTGTTAAGTTCTTCTAAGGTTAAAAGTTTATCTATTATGCACTTAATAAATGCACTTCTTCTGGCACTACTTCTTCTTGTTGTACAATATATTCCTTTGGTCATCTTAAGCCTTTTCCAAAAATAAGTTCAATCATATATTGTGATTTTGCTTCTGATTCTAGGTCTTTAACTGCTTTCATTTCTTTTTATTTTGCTTCCAGTTTTGCATTTGTTACTAACTTGCAAAGCAGTCTTGCTGGTATGTCAGTTCATCTATTTTTCTACTCTAAGTAGTACTTTATCTCTTTACAACTGACTTTTCAGCCTGTACTATTTCTCTACTTATTGCCCCTTTCTTTGCTAAACTATTTGCTTTATCATTCTATTTGTTTTTATTATGACTTTTTATTTTAATTAAATCTATCTGAATGTTTTTCATCTTGACTAGATCTTTAATCTTCATTAACTACATTGCATTCTTTTTCTTAATAATCTTGCTTCTGTCTGCTTGTTCTAGGCTTCTACTAATATTTCTTATTGCAGCATTACTATCTGTATATAATTCTACTTGCTTCTTCTTAGGTATTATTAGAATCACTGCCCAAATTACTACCAATTCTGCTGTTGTTAACATTTGCCACTCTTCTAGTCCAAATGCAAACTTTTCTTCTGGTCATTCTTGTGTCTCATCTGTTTGGACCCATTCAATATCCATATTGTTCTTAGATGATGGTTCTTTCTTATCTTTCCTATTAGCTGTGTCATCAGTGTATATTGTATATTTGTTCTTGTTTCTCATAATGTTTTTTTTTAGAACTTTTGTTATTTTTTGACTAATATTTTCTTCAAGTTTTTGTTACTTGATAATTTCTACCTCTAGTTCTTCTATTATTGTAAGGCTTCTTAATTTGCATTCACTTATTTTTGATCTATTAATTTCTGTTTTGTCTATTATTTGGTTTATCACTATCTTAATTTAATTGCTACCTTTACTTATTAATCTATCTGGGATTACATAAATGTTTCTGTTTAATCTTATTTATTGCTGACAACTGTTTTCTATTTGTTCTTTTTTACTTATACACCCTTTACATCTGTTGATTTCAGTTGCTACTTCATTCTCTTTATACTTTATTTGCTAGTATTCAATTAGTGCTTTTTTTTTTTTCTTTTTTATCACCTTTCTGAGCTGTCTGTAGTTCTGTATGCCATATACTATCTACTTTTTTCTTTTTCTATCTTCTAATATATGTTCTCATTTAACTTGCATTGCCTGAATATTTTGTTCACCTATTCTATAGTATCTTTGCACTACTCTACTTTCTAGGCTGCTAAGCATTTTTAATTTAATTACTTTGAACCATTTTGCTTTTTTTTCTTTACTTGATTGGCCTTGATAGCCTTTTAGTTGCTGCTATGTGATTAGTTTTTCTCTCTTTGCATTAAGTAGTTGGTTCAGATATATTAGACCAAATTCATTTACTTTAACTGCTCCTTTTTTTCACAATTGTATATCTACTAATTTTTGTATTTTAGTACTATGTTCAATCATTGTCCATAGTTTGCTTTCTGTTTTAATATTTATTTTTAATTTTCTTGCTTTGAGTATTGTAAAGCATGCTAAATTGTTCTTTAGTATGTTTCAATTTTTGTCTGCTCTTCTGTCTTCCATATGTCTTTTGTTAAACCTGCTCTTTGACAGCCTTGTGTTATTCTTAGTCTCATTAGCTGTCTGAGGCTGTCTTGTCTGTTCAGTTTCACCAGAAGACTACTCACTTGTTTCATAATTATTTCTTGTTACAATATCCTATAGCTGCCAACATCAGCAAAAAATTTTAGCAATAATGCAAAATAATTAGAAAATTTTCGAAATAATGCGAAATAATTAGAAAAATTTCACAATAATGCAAAATAATTAAAAAAGTTTCACAATAATGTGAAATAATCAGAAAAATTTTACTATTACAAAATAATTAAATAATAAAAAAAATTTTAAAACTATTTATTAATTTATTTATTTTTTATTTAAAATAATTTTTTATTTAATTTTTATTAAACAATAATTACATAATAAAAAAACTATATTATATTAAAAAACAAAACTAAAATATTGAGCAGAATTTTTTCATTGACATTTCTGACTCACAATTCTAGCTCCCATTAACCCTTCTTAGCGAAACACAAGACCTAAAGAAAAAGAAAGCAAGAATTAGTAACAAGACAAAAAAACTGAAAATACCAAAAAAAAGTGAACTGGTACTTATCTTTGTATCAGTTCTAGATTCAAAATTCTGATCCCAGTCCCTATTAACCCTTCTCAGTGAAGTACAAGACCTAAAAAAAAAGAAAACAAGAATTAGTAACAAGACAAAAAAATGAAAAATATGAAAAAAAGTGAACTAGTACTTATCTTTGTACTAGTTTCAAGTTCAAGATCCCGATCTGGCCCTATTAACTTTTCTTGGCAAAATACAAGACCTAAAGAAAAGAAAGAAAGAATTAGTAACAACAAAAAAATAAAAAAAAATAAAAAAAAAACAAAAAAAAGTGAAATATACTTATCTTTTACTAGTTCCAAGTTTAAGATTCTGATTCTGACCTTCATTAACCCTTCTCGGTAAAGCACAAGACTTAAAAAAAAAGAAAAAAAAAATTAGTAATAACAAAAAAACAAAAAAAAACAAAAAAAAAACAAAAAAAAGTGAAATATACTTATCTTTTACTAGTTCCAAGTTCAAGATCCTGATCCTGGCCTCTATTAACCCTTTCTGGTGAAGCACAAGACCTAAAGAAAAAGAAAAAAAGAATTAGTAACAACAAAAAAACAAAAAAAAACAAAAAAAGTAAAATATACTTATCTTTTACTAGTTCCAAGTTCAAGATCCTGATTCTGGCCCCCATTAACCCTTTCTGGTGAAGTACAAAACCTAAAGAAAAAGAATAAATGAATTAGTAACAACAAAAAAAAAACAAAAAAAAAACAAAAAAAAGTAAAATATACTTATCTTTTATTAGTTTTAAGTTCAAGATCCTGATCTTAGCCTCTATTAACCCTTTTTGGCAAAGTACAAGACCTAAAAAAAAAGAAAGAAAGAATTAGTAACAACAAAAAAACAAAAAAAAACAAAAAAAAAGTGAACTAGTTCTTATTTTTGTACTAGTTTCAGGTTCAAGATCCCAATTCTAGCCCATATTAACTCT